ATTACATTAATATACTCATTTTACATTTCAGATCTCTCTAATTGCACCAAATTCGCCATTTTTTGTCAAGTATAGTAACTTGATAGTCAAGTAAGCAAAATGTTCATTTTAATTATAAAGCAATTTGATTAAAATATATTAATAAATTGCCAAATTCTCCATAATTAATACATCAAAACATCTTAACAGCTTGTTGTGGCACATTGTTTTTCATTTACACAATTTACTTATTAAAATAATGCCATTAATAATTTTACTCAAAAATGATATATTTATAGTTAATCACAGACTCAACGTTTATTGGGGATTAAATTTGGATTTATTATAACTCATCTTTTTGGATACTTTATTATCTTACTTCATGTTTCTAAATTAAATGTGAATACTTTTGTCAGGTAGGATCGTGTAAGAACACGATTCCCACCTTTTCTTGAACTGGTCGAGAATCACACCATACTGCATATTTGCATAGGGCTACGGCCAAGTAATCGCTGATTGGTCGTCCAACCCACTGTTGATGGCTATAAAAGGTTAATGTCGAAGCGGGAGATTTAAGTTCACTGCGGAGCTTCAAGTTGACATCAAGTACTTCATAGATTCGTCTTACTGTGTGTTCTTCAACCACCGGAAGAAGGCTACTTCTAGCCAACAACTCAGTAATTTGTCGCAAGGTGTCTTCTCGATGGACAAGAACGGGAAATACAAACTATCTGAACTTTGTTAATGTTATTGGCCTACCAAGTTGGTTGCCAATTGTGAAATACGACATTTTTGAACTTCACTACTCTTTATTTTAATGTTAATTTTCTCAAGAATACACTTGTTAAAGAGTATTTAAAGAGTTCAATCCGAGACATCCACATTAGATTCAAGTATTTTTGTTATTTTAATGTGCCTCATTTCCAGATTTTGAGTTGAGTTTTATGCTTTATATAAGTTATATATACTTTATTTAGTTATATAAGTGATTCAATATAATGATTTTGTGTATTAAAGATGGAATTTGGATTATAAAAGATTTTAACCAGACTTTAAATGATTTTTAAATTAATATTTGCAGGGGTAAGCATTACATGAACATTCCGGTCAGCTTTCAGCCGACATCTGAAGGTATCTACAATGACGTCTTGTTAGTTCATACCGAACTGAATTACGACATCAAAATTTCTCTGAAGTGGCGCTTGACGGCATGGAAAGTAGTTCGGCTGCCCGATGACGTTTTACGTAATTATAGGAGTTTTTTTACCGTTGTTTATGGATACCGCCACATTTTTTCGCTGTCTTATAGGAATCGTATTTATAGTAACCCGTTTTATAGGGAGGTCTACTGTAGTATGAAAACACTATAATATATATGAATTATTTCAAATAATTGGTACAGATGATAATTTATGTATTAATATACATAAATTATTAGACAAGTTAAAAAAAAAATTATTGGCACTTAGACTGTTTTTTTTAACATAATAGACGTATGAGAACCTGATCTGGCTCTAAGAAGTTTATATACAGTATATAAAATTTTAAGTAAGTTTCTAATTTATTAAAAAATTTACACTTATATGTAAAATAGTGTTATATATTGATAAATATATAAATTTATTTATTTTAGAAAATTACTTTTTCCATCTGAAAAAGTGTTCCTGTATGATAAGTTCTCTATAGCAATTTTGTGCTTAATTCTATAGAACATAAGAGAAAACGAGCAGTTACTAGAGAGCTTGCAGCCAAAGTTTTCATCTTTAAAACATGAACGTCAAACATTGAGTGTTTAGCATCTTGTAAGCCTAGAAGTTTGACAATGACATTTAGAATGTCAGGCATGATTCCAATTTGCCATTGTCTTCTAGGCTTACAAGATGGTGCACTCAATGTTTGACATTCACATTTTAAAGATAAAAACTTTGGTGCAACCTCTCTATTGAGAGCATTTGTAACATTGTAGGGAGCTATTTGCCCAAGATTTAAAAAGTAAAGAATATTTTGTTATTTTCATATACAGTTCTTTACAAAGCTATATTTAATTATAATCTTCTTTAAAAGTATATTCATACAATTGAAGAATATTTTGTACCAGGTATGGATATCCACCACATTATATTTTATTTTACCAAGTAAATTTTAATTTTATTTTTAATTTTAGCCTTTATATCGTGGCTAGCGATTCGGAATGCAATTGTGATATTAAAAATACATTTAGAGAAGTCTATGGTTTTTACTGTCTTGTTGAACAAACGAAGACGAATGGACCCTAGACCATCACTGACGCACAATTAACTGATGCCCCTGGAAGTCGGCTTCTTACAGAAACACAGCTTCCCTATCATCAAATGTCACGGTATGCCATTGGTTTCCACAATTTCGTGCATGCAAGAAGAAACAAGATGGCTGTGGAACAAGTGTCGAGCTATCAACAGAGAAATAAAAAAGATATTTGGAGAGACAATAAAATCTTGCCTTTTGGATATGACCAATAACTTGGTGAGGCACAATTCTGCAATACATTATATAGCAACATCTTAATATCTTTGTTCCTCTTCGTACAATGACGTATGTTGAGTAAATGACTTAAATGGTTTCTGTTTACAGTCATTTGATTGCAGATGTCCAATAACTTTGCTGCATATAGGCCTACCTTTGTTACCAGCTTCCATTTTGTTTGTTGGTGTTCATGTCTTATGGCATAGTTATGTCAGTTTTATTATCACATGCAATAGCCAGGTTCTTCTCAAGCCTGTGCAAACAACTTGACATTTGACTGCCGACAGTTTCATTCGAGATTGTGGTTATATCAAGATTAAAGTGAGTCATAGATTGTGTGTGAACGCAATATAAGATTTCCATGACTTGTCTTTCATCTATATAATTTCATTCTCAAGATTAAGGAAAGACGGACAGATGACAGTGGGAATTTGTAGGTCAACAATTTTTCAAATTGCAGCTCAACAAGAAGCTATCAAGCACTAATATAAATTTTATATAAAAATTTTTTGATTTTTGCAAATTTTTTGTTTTGCAAACTACTTTATATATTTTGTACATAATGTTTTATACATTTTAAGAGCTGCCGCAAACTACAAGAAGCAGGAGCTAGCATAGGCTTGTTAGTGCTTCCAAACCTTGCCTTTTTTTCCATGAGGCTATAAGCCATTTTTGCTAGGTAAGCTACGTGGGCAAGAAGCAGCCACAAACTACACAACATTTGCTTGCGTAACATAGTCCACATGACATGGATTCCACAGATGTGGATTGGCTATAGAACAAGATTTTATTATAACCTATACTTGTAATCAGTCAGTTTTCATTCTGAACTTTGAAACAGAATGGGAAAAACATGTTTACTAGTTAAGCCTAACTAGGCTTAACTAGCCGAAAACTATTTATATATAACTATTTACTATTTACATACAACGTTTATACTATTTTCTTTTCAATACTGAATGTATTAATCATGTAATTTATGTACATTGATAAAATTCTATTATTTCTTTTTCCATATGTAACATGTTTATGTAGTCATCAATCTTCCCTGCTCTCTTTTGCTAGCGTGACTGCTTTAGTTGTTGAATTCTGTGAACAGCGAGCATACTCTTGTATTGCTGCTCTAACAACGGAAAAACCACGTGGGCAAGAAGAAAGGGGCGGAGCCTTTGATGTCATCAGTTGTGCTAGCGCACATTTGCTAGCATTTTGCTCTCACAAATTGCTAGTTTATGGCAGCTCTAAAATTTGTTTTAGTTTTTATTTTGTACATATTAGAAAATTCAGTTATTTTTACATATACTCAAAATTACAGGAAATAAACTGTTGTAGAAATTAAGAAACAACAAATCTTTTACAATCCATCTTTTAATTTGTCAGAAACAAATGTTTTTGGCTACTTCAAATAGCCAGGTCTATCAAGGAAAGAATCTTCAGATTCTAAAATTTGTTAGCATTGTAGTTCTAGAACAATCATTTGAAATAAAAAATTGTAGGTTGCATTCCAATAAATCATGGTTGTAATGATGTTTCTGAAAACCATAAAAGTAAGATTTTAATAGGTTGGCCAATTGTTTACATAGAAGCTGCCACATCTAAGATGTTGCAGCTTCTATGTAAACAAGCCAACACATTCACTATTTGCACCACAAGCTGCCATCGTGGTGCAAATAGTGAATGTGCATGAAGAGAAGTCTGGGTGAAATCAGACATTAGCTGACTGGATCCAATGGTGGCAATCCATTTAGTTTCAGAGGATAGAAATCATTTATTTTAGACAGCACTGGCAGTTTTCCACAATTCAATGATTATTTGCATTTCTATAGAACATAAGAGAAAACGAGCAGTTACTAGAGAGCTTGCAGCCAAAGTTTTCATCTTTAAAACATGAACGTCAAACATTGAGTGTTTAGCATCTTGTAAGCCTAGAAGTTTGACAATGACATTTAGAATGTCAGGCATGATTCCAATTTGCCATTGTCTTCTAGGCTTACAAGATGGTGCACTCAATGTTTGACATTCACATTTTAAAGATAAAAACTTTGGTGCAACCTCTCTATTGAGAGCATTTGTAACATTGTAGGGAGCTATTTGCCCAAGATTTAAAAAGTAAAGAATATTTTGTTATTTTCATATACAGTTCTTTACAAAGCTATATTTAATTATAATCTTCTTTAAAAGTATATTCATACAATTGAAGAATATTTTGTACCAGGTATGGATATCCACCACATTATATTTTATTTTACCAAGTAAATTTTAATTTTATTTTTAATTTTAGCCTTTATATCGTGGCTAGCGATTCGGAATGCAATTGTGATATTAAAAATACATTTAGAGAAGTCTATGGTTTTTACTGTCTTGTTGAACAAACGAAGACGAATGGACCCTAGACCATCACTGACGCACAATTAACTGATGCCCCTGGAAGTCGGCTTCTTACAGAAACACAGCTTCCCTATCATCAAATGTCACGGTATGCCATTGGTTTCCACAATTTCGTGCATGCAAGAAGAAACAAGATGGCTGTGGAACAAGTGTCGAGCTATCAACAGAGAAATAGAAAAGATATTTGGAGAGACAATAAAATCTTGCCTTTTGGATATGACCAATAACTTGGTGAGGCACAATTCTGCAATACATTATATAGCAACATCTTAATATCTTTGTTCCTCTTCGTACAATGACGTATGTTGAGTAAATGACTTAAATGGTTTCTGTTTACAGTCATTTGATTGCAGATGTCCAATAACTTTGCTGCATATAGGCCTACCTTTGTTACCAGCTTCCATTTTGTTTGTTGGTGTTCATGTCTTATGGCATAGTTATGTCAGTTTTATTATCACATGCAATAGCCAGGTTCTTCTCAAGCCTGTGCAAACAACTTGACATTTGACTGCCGACAGTTTCATTCGAGATTGTGGTTATATCAAGATTAAAGTGAGTCATAGATTGTGTGTGAACGCAATATAAGATTTCCATGACTTGTCTTTCATCTATATAATTTCATTCTCAAGATTAAGGAAAGACGGACAGATGACAGTGGGAATTTGTAGGTCAACAATTTTTCAAATTGCAGCTCAACAAGAAGCTATCAAGCACTAATATAAATTTTATATAAAAATTTTTTGATTTTTGCAAATTTTTTGTTTTGCAAACTACTTTATATATTTTGTACATAATGTTTTATACATTTTAAGAGCTGCCGCAAACTACAAGAAGCAGGAGCTAGCATAGGCTTGTTAGTGCTTCCAAACCTTGCCTTTTTTTCCATGAGGCTATAAGCCATTTTTGCTAGGTAAGCTACGTGGGCAAGAAGCAGCCACAAACTACACAACATTTGCTTGCGTAACATAGTCCACATGACATGGATTCCACAGATGTGGATTGGCTATAGAACAAGATTTTATTATAACCTATACTTGTAATCAGTCAGTTTTCATTCTGAACTTTGAAACAGAATGGGAAAAACATGTTTACTAGTTAAGCCTAACTAGGCTTAACTAGCCGAAAACTATTTATATATAACTATTTACTATTTACATACAACGTTTATACTATTTTCTTTTCAATACTGAATGTATTAATCATGTAATTTATGTACATTGATAAAATTCTATTATTTCTTTTTCCATATGTAACATGTTTATGTAGTCATCAATCTTCCCTGCTCTCTTTTGCTAGCGTGACTGCTTTAGTTGTTGAATTCTGTGAACAGCGAGCATACTCTTGTATTGCTGCTCTAACAATGGAAAAACCACGTGGGCAAGAAGAAAGGGGCGGAGCCTTTGATGTCATCAGTTGTGCTAGCGCACATTTGCTAGCATTTTGCTCTCACAAATTGCTAGTTTATGGCAGCTCTAAAATTTGTTTTAGTTTTTATTTTGTACATATTAGAAAATTCAGTTATTTTTACATATACTCAAAATTACAGGAAATAAACTGTTGTAGAAATTAAGAAACAACAAATCTTTTACAATCCATCTTTTGTCAGAAACAAATGTTTTTGGCTACTTCAAATAGCCAGGTCTATCAAGGAAAGAATC